TGTGTAGGCAAGAAAGCTGTCTTCTGAATGGGCAAAATATTAATTTACATACCTCCCTGCATCGCTGTCTTGTCATGGAAGTGGGGCTTAAAACTATGAGTTATGCAGGGTTACCCATGATAGACGGGTCATAGTGCAGAGTTCTGACAAAGCATGAACCACTGGAAAAGAAAATGGCAAACCACTCCAGTGTCTTTACCAAGAAAACCCCATGGACAGTATTAAAATGCTAAAAGATATGACACCGGACAATGAGTCCCTCAGGTCAAAAGGTGTCCGACATATTCAACGAACATGAGCTTGGCCAGACTTTGGGAGACAGAAGGGCTGGCATGCTAGACTCCACAGGTCACAAAGAGTCACACACAGCCAAACAAGATAATAAGATGAGGCTGTGCCAAAGAGAGGCAACACTAAGGGATAGAAGGCTGTTGACTCTGAAAACTATAGAGTTCAACACTTGCACACAGTGAGGTTCATGTCCATAACCTCTAGGAGTGTAGACTTCCACTGTGCCAAGTCCTTATTGATGGTGGCTAGCAGGGACAACTAGTGGTACAAATAAGTTGTGGTTTGGATAATCCACCTTCCTCTTCTCCTTTTACTTGTATACCAATTAGTATATTTCTGTTAATATCCTTTCAAATCCTTTGTCCCCTGCTTCTAAACCTTCCATATTGACTTATATGCCTAAAAGTTTCAAACTTCACATTCCCCATGGCATTCCTGCCCATACTCAGAATTCACTTCTCCCAAGAAACTCATCTGAAACAGAGAAAGAGGGAGAAATAGCAAAAATTCTGTCATCCACTTCAAAATTAATCAACACACCTAAGCATACTATTAAGCTTTTTAAAAATGCTATATAATTGATTTCCTTCAAAAGTTTAATAATGTACATATGTTTTAAATGTCAGGATTCCTGTAAATGTGATTAACATACATGTCTTACATGCCAAAACTAACAGAAATGACTGTAACTTAAGTTTATGCAGAGCCTAGCAAATCAATTTTGCTAATAAGAAATGTGTTTTAACTTCCAGTATCCTACTGTGTGGCAGCTAGATGGTGCAGTGGATAAAGCCCTCGAGTCAGGAAGACCTGGGTTCAAATCCAGCCTCAGACACTTTCTAGCTGTGTGACTCTGGGCAAGTCTCTTAACCCTGTTTGCCTCAGTTCTTCATCTGCAAAATGAGCTGGAGAGGTAAATGCAAACCACTCCAGTATGCCAAGAAAATCCCAAACGGGGTCGCAGAGAGTCAGACACAACAGCATTCTGCTGTGCCCCTCAGGAAATCCAGGTCTATCCACTTTCTAACCAACTACATAACTCTCCTATCCAAAAATCTACACCACCACCTCCCTCCTTTCTACCATTGCACTCCACCATTATCTAAGCCTTCACCAACTTTCTACTTCCCTCTATAGTTTATTTCATAATTCAGAAAAAAAAAACACCTTTGAGTACTAATTATGTATAAGACACAAAGATGCAAAGATGAATGAGAAATGGCCAATATTATACATACTTAAGACATGAGGTCAAATCCTGTTTCCAGATATCTAAGAGTTCATTTGAATTCAATAATTCAATGGCGCTTTATCCACTGCACCATTTAGTGAGTGCCTATTATGTTCCAGGAACAGGGAATAAAGGGAAAAAAAAAGCCCTTGCCTTCTAAGAGCTTACATTCTTCTAAGGGAAAATAACAGAAAATTATATATTAGGAAACCTCATGGTATGCCACTATCGTTTGGACAGTAAAGGCAAAGAGACTTGGACTATTCGGTCACTAGCTCATGTTTGAGTTTAGCATGGGGATGGTGTAGAATTTCAGCTGCAATTCTCTGCTGCACTTTTGTTAGATGACAAAACAGCGGCAGTGCTATCTTTTTTGGTGTCTTTTGTATGAACATTGGTTTAAATAAACAATTTTTTGTTTCTTGTAAGGCTGAGAATGACTCACAGAGAGCTGCAAGTGGGTGATGTTCAGAGGAACCTCAGCCCCCACCTTCAGAGTCTCATAGCAACTTTAAGAGTTCTTTGGGATAGATTTAAGGATGCTTTTCTAGAACTGACCAAGACTTGGAAGCCCAGAAGATGATGCAGAAGTGAGTTTGATGGAGTCCTTTTAACAGTTCTGATCATCTAAGGAAGGTATTCTTTTGAAAGAAACCTCTGAAAGAGTACTCTACCCAAAGAAGCTTTGAAAGCCTCTACTTTTCTGGAATCCAACTGCTCCATCTTGCTTCAAACTTCCCCATGTCCCAGTATACAAGCCAGGTGTCCCCAGTGCCACACACCAAGGTGATGGCTGACTACCTGAGCAAAATTTCACTGGGGCTAATGGAACTATGAAAAAGTAGAGGGCGAGTACAATTTAGTTCTGACATTTTGGCAGGCCATCAAGCCTACAAGAAACTTCCACTCCAATCAATCTCCATCCCTCCCTCCTGTCTTCCCTCACACTCGCCCAACGATTGAAGACGAATTCAAACAAATGTGTTTCATCAAACAAGTTTTACGCTGGCACAAGAAGGGTCAACATTCTTGTTTGTTTGTTTGTTTTATTAAGAAAGCATGCAAAAAAAAATTGTGAGGCCAAACTCCTTCCCCACCCCTTTCCAGCCCACATTGATGCAAAGCATCATGAGTGTCACGAGGGAATCACCTAACCAAATACATGAGGGTTAAAGGGAGACAGGCAAGGAAGGGTGGATCTACACCAATTACTTGCTCCCCTGCTCCCTCCTTACCACTTTCCAGTTCCCTCTTCCATATCTTTTTCTGCCACCTGTGAGCTCCTGCTATCACACATCACTCAGTACAATGACAACTACATTTCACATTCAGCAAACAGTCCTCTTCAGCACACACTGGAATTTTGAACCAACAAAGGAGTAGTATTTTCTCCATTTCACTGGGGGCTGGGGAAGGTAGGATGGAACCGAGGTACAGAAAGAGACTTGTCCTATGCAACAGAATGGGCTGAAATTAACAGAGGGGACCTGGGAACCCAGGAGGCTTGACACCCAAATTCTTGTCAAGATTCATAGGGCCCACACCCTCTGACTGCTTGGAGTCCTGAAGTATGCCTATTTCCTGAAAGATGATTTGCTGTCAAGGTGGCACATTTGCTTGTGCAAGTAAGTCCACTCTTATAAATGCTGCATTTATCTAAGGGGAAAGGGATTTACAGGGAGAGGAGCTCTGATCAGCAGTAGGGACTCCTCAATGAAATCTGTGTAGGAGATGCTGAGTACAAAAAAGAGGAGGCCCCCTTCCTTGGATCCCTGAAATGGAGTTAAAAGACAGACATTATGCCCCACTTGTAGGAAAGGTTCTCCCTCCAGAATGAGAAACATTATGCCAGTTGCACCTTAGTTTTACTGCCTTGCCACACAATGGATTGATCCTCCACCCCATTTCCCTCTGACAAGCGCTTCTTCCCAGAGACTAGTTCTTCCTGTCCCTATACCTCAATTCATTTTATTTCTATTGTGCAACAATGCATACCCAACTGAAGTTCCTTCTAAGGAAGGAGGGAAAAAGCAGAGTCAAAACAGATGTCTTGGAAATCCTGAGAACAGGAAACAGGAATGGAAGGTCCCGTACGGGAGTTTCAGGAAGTGGAAAAGGGCCTCACCCTATTTCCACCCATTTCTACTTAAAAGTGAAAATATATGGGGTGGAGGTGTAAGCGAATTTGCTTTTCTCTCTGAAGTCCAGAATTAAACACTCAACACAGACTTTTCACTGGGTGTAAAGAGCACACTGAGCTAGTCAATATATGTTGATTTCCAATTGTTAAAGGACATAAGTTATCACTAAACCCTGTTCTCTTTTTCCACCTTCACTGTATTCCTCTCTTAAGCCTCCATGCTCTTCAAAAACCAATGGGAAAACCTCCAACCCCAAGAGATGAACATTTGCCTCTGCAACGAAAATGGCCAGGAATTCCCCACTTTTACTTCCAATGACACCTTCTCTCCTCTCAGCCCAAACTCTTGTACCTCAATGCCATTTGTTTGATTCTGCTGATATTTATGGTACTCAGGGGTCCTCTCCCTTCTGGGAAGGTCAAAGGGCTGACTGGATCAAAGGGAAGATCAGTATGAAAAACTGACCTTTGGACAAAAATATTAAATTTGTTGGGTGGGAGGTGGACATATAAAGATGGCAATTTACATATATAAATGAGATGTGGATTTAAAGAGGTGATCTAGAATGAGGAAAAAAGGTGAAACAGAAACTCTCTCCTAGGAATCGAGTTAGGGCTGATTATAGTCACTCCTCACAAGAGCAGGAGTTGAGTTCACTAGTCAAGATCAATCCCAATTCCTGGTGTCGTGGGCTGGAGGCCACAATAGTGGTTGACTTCAATGGCAGTACAATCCAATTCCAGACATTCATAGATCACCACCTCTCTATAAGAGTCTCACAACAATCTGTATCTCACTTACCTAATCAAAACCCTACTTATCTCCTGAGATCCCGCCTTCCTATTTCAGTCACCAATCACTGCCTACCTCATCTTTTACTTGTCCTACTTCTTATTCACAGGGATTTTAAGCCCTGGCCTTACTGAGCATTGCTGGGGGGGGAGAGGAGGGAGGGAAGATGACCAAGAACTATTTCAGGATGGGGGAGGAAATAGCACCACCTCGTAGACTCCTTTGGGATCAATGATGCCCGCATAGCCCTTCAGGCCCATCCACTTAATCTCTCTAGCCCTGAACTGAGTTTTGATAGGGGCAGTAACCAATCCAGAGCTAACAGGTGGGATCAGCACTGAATCTCCAAGATGTGGAAGTTTTGAGTTCCTGCTGCTCCCTGGCTGTTACAGCCTTGCCGCCCAACCCGGGGACGGCAATGGTCTGTGGCGCCAGGGACCGGAGGTCGGGGCCAGCAAAGTAATCAATAATATTATTAGTAATAACAATAATATAATAATAACAATAATAAAAGAAAGGGGAGAAAGATGGGGAAGGCAGGGTTATCTTCGGCAGCATCTTGCAGTGGCTTCTCCGGCAAAGAGAAAAAAAAAGAAAAAGAGGAAATAGATATATATCTATATCTATCTATCTATCTATGTACAGGCTTGGGGAAAGGGAACTGGACTGGGGTTATTTCTAGATTCTTTGCCAGGGTTCACCACCGCTGGCCCTGGGTTCTTCAGTCTGTGACAGACTAAGTGATCAAGTCCCAGTCGAAATCATCAGGGATCTCCTCATTGGAACCAGGAGGCGGGACAGGCGGCCGGGGGACCAGATGATGTGCTGTCGAGAAGGAAAGGGAGAGGTTAAGGGACTGGGACTGGGAAGTCATTACTTCCCTCGAGCTGGCACAATAAGCACCCATAGAGAGGACCTTGTGACTAGTACAAATTGTTTTACTTGCTAGTTCTTTATGATTATTATTTTGGGGTATTCTTAGGTGGTAAAATCAGTCAATCCAGTCATCCACATGTGAATTAACCACTGGGCAACGTGGGGCTTTCTCTCCTCTACCAACCAACTGGTTTTAAAATTGCCGAAAGCACTGCTGAGCTGACCAGGAGGGAAACGAGACAAGGAATGGGGAGGAGAGACCGGACTTTGGCACGAAGGCATTGCCAACCAGCATTTGTTTCGGGCTATTCTCTGAACACATTCTAAAGCCTAATATAAATTGTTTTAGACTAGCTGTTGCTCTCATATTATTCATTCTTTGTTCCCTTTTCATTCATTAAAAAGAGAACTAACTCTAAATGAAATCTGTCTTTTTTTTTTTTTTAAACCACTCCAAGCATACAATTCTCTCTTTTGTAGGCAAATGGGCCCTCCTCCTAAAATGTCTGGATGGCATTCTTGGTTCACTACAAGCACACTGCAAACCTCTCTTGCCCTGTAGCAGGTGGGGTGCTGAGAGGCCTTCTGAAGGCTATTAGAAAAAAGGCATAGAGAAGAAAAGGAAGACACCAGCCAAAGAAGGAGATTCCCCTTAGGCCTGGTGATCAAGCACGCTAACAATAATTTACCTGGACGGTTATATCCTGGAGAGTCCTGGGTAGGTATAGGGTACATGGGCGATGGGCCAGAGTAGAGGTGGGGTGCTTGTGGGTGTCCATAAGAGTTCACTGAAAGAAACAAATAAGAGCATATTGATATTTGGGCAGAGCTACTGACCTTATTGGACTGATGCTGCCATAATAACCTCCCAATATGTCTCCCTTTCTTGGCTGAATGAAAAATCATTTGTCAAGCACTTACTGTATACTGGACACTGTGGACACAAACACAAAAGAGAGACCAGTCCCTGCCCTAAGGAGCTTATATTCTAATGGGGCAAGAAGGGAAGCTTGCCTTCTGGGAGTCGATGATGGAGCACCAGTCAAGAGAAAATGCTGGGGCCAGAAGAAACAACGGGCAAAATTAGATGGTCAGATGTGGGACAGGACACAGCTTCAAGAGGAGTAATTACTACAATCATGATTCCAGAGTCATTTACAGGTTATTAAGTATATCATAAATGAAGTCATGGACTCTCCTTCCCTGGAAATCTTTAAGAATACAAGAGCCACATGGCAGGCTTTAGGCACCAGTTAGCCTGAGATCAGAGGTATGGGATGACCCTAGCCAGTCCAAGAATTCTATGGGAAATTAAGGCTAGGGAAAGGGTGTTTTGGTCTGAGGAGTCACAGGGATGGCGAACAACAGAGCTGCAGGGTAGCCAAATGACAGACTCTTTCCAGAAGCAATGGTAGGGGCAGAAAGTGGGAGTAGGGGGTGGGTCATGGGAGCACAGGAACAAGGCAGGCAAACAGCGTGGGTGAAGCACAATTGTGGGTGTGGGGCTTTCATCAATCAAGATAGCACACAAGCCTCTGCAGAGACTGATGCAAGCAGCTTCTCCAGAAGCCACCAGCCCTCATTTACTGGAAAAGGGTAAAAAGGAGACCTAAATTCTAGGAGTATAAAGTATTAAAGGCATTAAGAGGAAGCTACACATAGGAATCATATTAAGAGCTCACTGCCTTGTTTCCTTCATTTAAGAATCACGAATTACTCAGGACTGCTGAGGTACGTGAACCCCTTTGGGGAAAAAGGAACATAAAATAGGGTGGAAAAACTGAAAAGTGAAAAAATGGGGATGTGCTCCGAACTATCTCCTCTTCTGCCCCAAATATTTTTGCTCTCCTAACTAGACTGAGGCCTTTGAGAGCAGAGGTTCATAGATTTATAGATGCAAGAGATCTCAGAGGTCATCAATTCAGTCTCTCCATCTTACAAAGAAAACGAAGCTTGGGAGAAGAACATTGTACTCAGTAACAGCAACACTGTGCGATGATCAACTTTGAGAGACTAAGCTCTTCTCAGCGATGCAAGGATCTAAGACAACTCCAAAAGACTCGTGATGGAAAATGCTATCTACATCCAGAAAAAGAACTACTATGGAGTCTGAGTGCAGATCAAAGAATACTATTTGCATTCTTTTTCATTTGTTTGTTTCTTCTTTCTCATGGTTTCTCCCATTGGTTCTAGTTCTTCTTTACAACATGACTAATGGGAAAATATGTTTAATATGAATGTATATGTATAGCCTATATCAGATTGCATGCTGTCTTGGGGTGGGGGGAGGTGAAGGAGGGGGAGAAAATTTAGAACTCAAAATGTTATGGAAGTGAATGCTGAAAACTAAAAATAAATAAATATAGATGAATAAATATTTCCCCAGGTCACATAAGTAGTAAGCAGCAGTGCCAGGCTCTGAACACAAATATTCTGATTCCAAATTCAGTCTTCTTTCCACAAGACAAGCAGGAATTCTCTGTTACTATCCCTCTACCACATCTACAAGTACAAATGTCTGGACACTAGGAAATCCCCAGTGTGCCCTTTTACTACTCCTGCCCATCCGTCCACCTCCCCACTCCCTACCTTGTTCAGCTACCCAGCCTCTGCCTGCCCCTGGGGTTCTGGTTCTGCCAGTTACCTTGGTTTATTGTGGACTCCTGCTTGCCGCTGGTCAGGGCACAGGTGTCAGCAATTCTAGTGGGAGGTGGTGGCTGGTGGGGACCCCCTGGGTGGGGCAGCTGACCAGTCTGGGTAAGGAATTGGTTTAGGGAGTCACAGAGATTGGCAATGTGGTGCTGGTCCAAGCTCCAGTTTTTTCTTTCTGCCTGCCGGAGGCTCTCCATTAGTTCTGCAAAACAAGAAAGGAAGGCATATGACCTCTGACCTTCAAGGACAACCCCTGCCCTACCAATTATTTCTCTGTTTCACAGACCTCGGTACCTGACCTAGGCTTTCCTCACTCTCAGGTACATCTCCCTAATCATCATCTCTCATTATTTTTTCCTCTTTACACCACAGGTAAAACATTAAATGCATGCACAATATTAATCATCACCATTATCAAAAAGTAATGAACAGCAATAATGACATAGTGCATTTACATTCATGTTCATGATCTCATTCTATCCTCACAACAATACTGTGAGGTGATACAAGATACCTACTATCATTTTAATTATACAGGTGAGAAAATGAAGCCCAGAGAGGTCAAAGGATCACAGGATCATAGCTCTAGAGCTGGAAGAGATTCCAGAGGCTACTTTGTGCAACGCCCCCTCCTTTTACAGATCAGAAAACAGAAGCCTGAGGAGGTTAACAGATTTGTACATGACCACAGATCCATATAGTCAGAGATGAATCTAAACCGAGGACCCAGGTCCCCTGACTACTGGTCAGAAGGAGTCTGACCGTTTCTACTATACCAAATACCAGGGATGATGACAAATTGCTTTAATGTTATAGTAACTACAATCAATCTGCAGGCATTTATCAAGAGTCTACTGTGTGCCAGGTGCTGTACTCATACCAAAACATTATCTGTCTTCAAGGACCTTAAATTCTATCAGGAGACAGATAGAATGTATGTGTGTACACATGCACAAAATACAGACAAAATGATACAAGGCTTTTTTTGGGGGTAGGGTGGGAAATGGGGGAGGACTAGAAACCAGAGGAAACAAGAAGGATCTCATGTAGAAAATGATACTTGAGTCTTGAAGGAGACTGTTGATTCTAAGAGTGTAACAGTCCAGGAGAGAGTTAATGAGGACTTGAACTAGAGTGACGTTTTTCAGAACAAGAGATGTAGTGGAAGTAGACATGGCAAGATTTGGAAACTGATTAGATATTCGGGATAAATGATGATGACCCTGAGGTTTCACACTGGGAGGATTAGAAGGATGATGGTTTGAAACTTACTAGTGTGACCCTGGGCAAGTCACTTAACCCCAATTGCCTCACCAAAAAAAAAAAGAAGGATGATGGTATCTTCTCCCCTCAGGTTTCTCCCTGTGGCCACCAACCTGAAAAATGGGACTGCTCAATGCTGGACCAGTTAAGCCGATTCACCATCTTGAAGCTTTCTTTCAGGGAGTCAATGTTGGAGCACCAGTCAGAGGGAAATGCTGCAGACAGAAGGAACAATGGACAAAATTCGTCGAAGTCAGATGTGGGACAGCACATAGCTTCAAGAGGACTAATTACTATGATCATGATTCCAAAGTCACTTACAGATTATTAAGCATATCCATAAATGAAGGCATGGAATCTCCTTCCCTGGAAATCTTTAAGAAAAGGCTTTAGGCACCATTTAGCCTGAAATCAGAAGTGTTCTATAATACTGAATAATAAGCTGTAAGTTGTATCTTCCCCTCTATCAGATAGGATCTCATGGCATACTGGATTTGGTGGGCACAGAAAAGGGGCTACAAAAAAAACCTTATAGAGCAGGGGTTCTTAGCCCTCTGAAAGGGTCTGTGGTTAGATTTCAGAGAATCTCTGAACTAATATATCTTTATTTTCACTAACCTCTAACTGAAATATAGCATTTTCTTCTATTATGAATTAAAGACAAAATGAACAAAATGTTATTCTGAGAAGGGGTCCCATAGGCTTCACCAGACTGCCAAAGAGATCCAGGTCACAAAACCCAACTTTTTAAAAAAATTTTTTTATTATACAAAGCCCAACTTTAAAGGGACACAGATTCAATTTTCTGACAAACAGTAAGATCTCATGTATATAAGGCTTTAAGGTTTACAAAGTGCTTTACATACAATATCACATCTGATTCTAACAACTCTGTAAAGTACACGAAAGAAGGTATTATTAGCTCCATTTTACAGATAAGCAAATTGAAGTTCAGAGGCTAAGTGATTTCCCCTAGGGCACCCAGAAACTCCCAGTGCCATAGATGAGGAGCACCTGAAGGTCAAGTCACTTCAACACACATTTGCCCATCCTCATTTTGCTCCTGGGCTTTCCCCGCTGTTCTTACTCACCAAAGCCAGTATTGTTGAGAGAAGGCTGGGACTGGGCCTGCTGCTGGGGTGGTGGTGGAGGCTGCTGGGGCGGATGCGGGTGGGGGTGGTGCTGATGGGTATGATAACCCACGTGCTGCAGTGGGGGCGGATGCATGGCCATCACAGAGGGTGTTCCATAGCTGTCAGCCCCAGGCTGCTTCCCTCCCGGTGGGGGGCAGCCCTCTGGGCTGGGAGTATGCAGTGAAGGGGTACCCCCTACAGATGAAGGGCCCTGTGTTGGTGCTTGCTGCTGAGATTGCTGGGGTGGTTGCTGTTGTTGCTGGGGTGGCTGTGGTGGTTGCTGGTACATGTAGTAGTTGTGATTGGAAGGCTGCATATCACCCAGGAGAGTCGAGAAACCTGCAGAGTAGGAAGAAATAAGTGACTCGGGCAATCTGAGCAAGGCTGGCTGGGGTTCGGAGGGGAGATCCCTACAGAAACCCCAAAGTAAGAAGGGAAAGATCACCCTGGGACAGCCAGCATCCCTATAAGAGATCTTGCAGCCTCCTGTGGTAGGACACAGAGCTCAGAGTTGGCTGAGGCGCATGGCCAATGGGGCCACTGCTAAAGTTTACCCAACAAAGGTTGGGCATGAACCTGATGACCAATTCAATTCTACAAACACTTAACAGGTATCCACCATGTGCCAGGCACTGTGCTAGCTGCTTGTAATACAAAGACAAAAATAAAACAGTCTCTTCTCTCAAGGAGCTTCCATTCTAAAAAAATAAAAAATAAAAAATAAAAAATAAAAAGAATAGTGTAACCAGAGGCATCAGCAAAGTCCTGTGTAGGACCAAACCATTATCATACCATCTTTTGAGGATACCAACCTAGATCTATAAATCAGCTCAAGCTCAAAAGTCCAAAAGGAACCAATCTGGAGATAAATCAAGAAATGAGCAAAAACCAACACTACAGGAAGATCCTGGGTTTTCTATCCCATGCTTGGCCTCTCTCTCTCTTTCTCTTTTTTTTTTCTTTTTTACGAACAAGGCAATTTATTAATGAATCTGGTGTGGTTTGTCCTAATGTTTCTTGTTGGCAGCTGCCACCTGTCTGGCAATTCTGTCCAGGTCTCTCTGTCCCTGAGGTATCACCTTCCGGCCCCCACCCTGGCCCTTCTCCACCATCTTGAGGTCTCCCAGGGCTTGCAGGACCTTTAGGCACACTCTTGGAGCCTCTTCTGAAGTGACTGGGTATGACCCCATTTGTGCTGGTACCCTCCATAGATCTTAGTCGTGGATCCCATACCGGCACCGCCTCAGAGGTACAGGTGACAGGCTGTGGAGGCGGCCCGGGTGTAGAACCTCGGGCACCAGATCCTTATGTTTGGACAGCTTGACATTTGGGGACTTTCAGTCTCCCTGACTTTTTCAGGAAGGCAGCCAGGGCCCGAATGAACTCCGGCTGGTTCATGTCCTTCACCATGACTCCGAGTGACCAGCCAGGGGAAAAAAAAAACTTCGCCCCTCTCTCTTCATCATTCTGTCCCTTCCATAACTGTACTTCTGCTAACTGCCATGGGAGCTGTACCACCAATACTCTTAGACGGAGAAGCTGGGTAGGGAAGGAGAATTAAGGATTATTTTAGCAATCTGATCAAAATTAAATCAGAAACAATATCTTATAACATAATTTAATTGGTACCTTGGCCTATTCTGATTCCATATACAGCTGTTCTATGCCTTTGTGTGTTGCACATCTCATCACCCCATGTGCAAAGAGAAGTTAAATTTCTCAAGCAGATGCCGCCACACCCATGGACATGAAAACTCTCTGATCCTTGAGAAAGTCATCTACAAGAGAAGCCTCCACTCCGTCTCCTCTCACTCCCTTCTTAACTCTCTACCATGAGCTTCCTGATATCATCATTCAGCTAAAACTGCCCCCTCCAAAGTTACCAATGATCTCTTAATTTCTGAAGCCAGTCCTCATCCTTCTTGACCTCTCTGTATCCTTTGACTTTCTCTTTGATACTCTCTTCTCCCTAGTTTTTTGTGACACTTCTCTCTCTCCTAGTTCTCTTCCTACCTATCTGATTGCTCATATCAGTCTCCTTTGCTGGATTTCCATCCAGGTTACTCCCTCTTACCATGGGTGTCCCCCGAGACTCTGTCCTGAGTCTTTTCTCTTCTTTTTCTATACTACTTCACTTGGGGACCTCATCAGCCCCTACAGATTCAACTGTCTTCTTCAGGCTGATGACTCCCAAATCTATTTAACCAGCTTTAAGTTCTCTCACCCTAATATCTCCAACATCTTGAATCAGATGTCCTGTAGACATCTTAAACTCAACATTCCAGGGGCAGCTGGATGGCGCAGCAGATAGAACATTGGCCTTGGAGTCAGGAGGACCTGAGTTCAAACCTGGCCTCAGACATATGACATTTACTAGCTGTGTAACCCTGGACAAGTTACTAAACCTTAATTGCCTTACCTAAAAAGCAAAACAAAAAAAACCAAAAAAAACCCCTCAACATTCCAAAACTGAACTCATTATCTTTTCCCCTAAACTCTACTCCCTTCCAAACATTCCTATTACTGTTTCAGGGTACCACTATCCGCCCAGTCCCCTAGACTCACAATCCAGGTGTCATCTTTGACTCCTCACTCCCTCTCATCCCCCATCCCCCATCTCCAATCTAATGCCAAGGCTTGTCAATTTTACTTTTGCAGCATCTCTGGCATATGTCCCCTTCTCTCTTCTGACCCTGCCACCACCTAGCGTAGGCCCTCATCACCTCATGCCTGGACTGTGGCAATAGCCTGGTGGTGCCATGGCCTGCCTGCCATGAATCTCTCTATTCAGTCACCAAAGTGACTTTCCTACAGCACAGGTCTGACCAAGTCACCCTGGCCTTACTCAATAAACTACAGTGGCTCTCCATCACTTCCAGGCTCAAATAAATAATTCTGTTTGGTGTTCAAAGCTCTTTATAACCTGGCCCCCAGCTAACCTTTCAGTCTTCTTACACCTGACACCTCACCACGCACTCTTCAATCCAGTGACACTGACGTCCTTGCTGCTTCTCAAACAGGTTATTCCATCTTTTCAGCTCCAGGCATTGTCTCCATGCCTGGAATGCTCTCCTTCCTTATCCCTGCCTCCTCCCTTCCCCAGTTTTCTTCAAGTACCAGCTTAAACTCTTGCCTTTTACAGGAAAACTTTCACTATCCCTCTCAATTCTAGTGCCTTCTCTCTGTTGATTAGTTCTGATTTATCCTGCTTGTTTGTACAGTTATTTGCGTGTTCTCGCACCCATTAGACTGGGAGCTCCCTGAAGGCAGGACTACGTATGTTTTGCCTTTCTTTGTATCCCCAAGACTTAGCACAGTGCCTGGAATGTACAATAGGTGCTTATCAAATTTTATTGACTTGAGCGACTTAATTTGACCTTCAAATCCCTCCTACAAAAAGGAAACATACAGAGAATTATGCCTGAATCCAAAGATGCCTCAAAGCCCCTTTATGCAAATTTAAACCATTATCAGAAGGAATGGGAAGGGGTGGGGGGGTGGGGGGGAAGATGGTGCTATACTATACCCATGACTACACTGTCCTCTAGTGGCTGTCTCCTAAATGACTGGCAGGAGTCATCCTGTGACTGACCAGATCACGTTCACCTCCAACTCAACATCTGAGGATAACATCCTGATAGTAGTCAGTATTCATGTACTGAATAATCTCAGTCCTGGAAAACTGAAAAGGAATTCTCAGTAGAGTGGTGCACTGTTATTAATGCAGGTGTAAATGGAGCTATGAATTGGTCTAGCCGCTCTAGAAAGGAATTTGGAACTGTGCCCAAAAAGTTACAAAACTAAACATACTCTCAGACCCAGAGATATCATGATCAAAGAAAGAGGAAAAGGACCCACCAGCACCCAAATATTTATAGCTACTCTTTTTGTAGTGACAAAAAAAGCGCAGAAACTAAGCGGATAGATTAGAGGATGATTGAACAAATTATGGAATATAAATGTAATGAAATACTATTGTGCCATAAGAAATGATGAAAAGAATGGTTTCAGGGGAAGACTTGCTTGAATCGATGCAGAATGAAGTAAGCAGAATAATGAGAACAATTTATATTCTAACAATGACATTGTAAAATCAGTAGAGGCGGACTACAGATGTGCAATGTCATGTACGTTTTCAGACGTGGTAGCTGGTTGGCTTTGCTTAAATATTTGGGTTTGATTTAGTTTGGTTTACAAAGGACAGAGAGGAAAGGAAGGGAGAATGATTGTGGTGTTTTTAAAAAGTCACCAACAAAATTGTTTTTAAAGAACATTATTCATCAGAACGAAGCTAGAACCCTGTTCTAAACATCTTCAGCTTGTTTGACCCTTCTGATAAGCTGCCACCTGCTCCAGAAGCAAGGAAGAAGAAAGAGAAGAGACATCCTTTCATCCTAAAGGATGAACAGAATACATGACCCCCATTCCAACCAATGACTCACCATGTGGGGAAGAGGAAGAGGAAGATTTCTCTAGCATGGACTTGTAAAGGTTTCGAAAGGACCAGCTCAGATCCTGAAAGTTTATCTCCGAGTAGGAAAATTTGAAGTCATGATTGGTATTATACAATGGAGGTGGCCCGTCAGCCCCATCTCGTCCTGGACCACCAGCTGCAACTACTGCACCATCCACGGGTCCTGAACCCTGCAACCAGAGGTCAGTGCCCTAGCTGAAAAACCAGTGTAGTCTTTCTCAATTACCTTAGAGGACCTACCTGTCCTCCCTATCCTTTCTCTTCCTCAGTTATTCCATTTTTCCTCTTTCTCCTCTTTCTTGGTTCTTTTCTCCTATGTTCTCTCCTTCCTCATTCTATTTCCTTTATGACCCTTTCTTATCATGCCCCTAAGCCCCTTTTCTTTCTTTCTCACAAACTTTTCTGTCTTCCTTTCTGTTTTGCAATCCTACATTCCTTTTATGGTTTGACCTCCCTTCTCCATCATCTTTTCTCCTACTGTCTCCTTTACTTCCTTTCCCATCACTTTTATTTTTCTCTTTTTCTTACTTCTCTCTGCCTACTTCCTTTCCTCCTGCTCCCTCTACCCTGTCCCTTCCATCTCTCCTCTATCCCTATCTCTCCTTCCTACCTGATTGAAGCTGGTAATGGGTGTAGTGCTCTGTAGTGACATCTGAGTATTTCCTTCAGGAGACAATGAGGCTTCTCCACTCCCTGCGACACCTCCTCGTGGACTCTTACTTGCTTCCTGTTCTGGGGAGTCCTGGGATAGCTGCAGGAATGAATAAGAAGTTGGTAAATTATCCAAAAAGTACAGGAAAAAACATGTCCCCAATACCCTTGATTTCACTGTCTGTCTACATTCAGGCTCTGTCCAACTTAGGTAAAAAAAAAAAATATATATATATATATATATTTTTTTTTACCTAAGTTGGTATATATATATATATATATATATATATATATATATATATATATGAGAAGTGGTTGAAGAGACAAGCCATGGTCTTTCACTTCAGGTTTAGAACTTACTTCATCATCTGGAGGGTGCCGTCTCTTACGAGAGATGTCAGGACAGGTGTCAATTGTCCAGTAAGAGCCCTGAAAGCATATTCCACACCAAAAGATGAAAGAATTATTAGCTTGGGGTAGGCAAATTAGTTTTGAAGGAATAGGGAAGGGACACGTTTCCAGTATATATGGTACCAAAGTGAGGCAAACAGCCAAGGAAAGGTTCAAGCCATCTCTCCAAGGTACTATTCAATGTTAAGGAGAAGAACTTGAATAGGGAACATTAACTATTTCAAATATGGGCTGGAGGCAGGATGCTGCACAACAGTGGTCCAATTTATAAGTTCGATGTGGGCTAGTAAAAGTACCAGGAGTAGAATAATTTGGAAATAATACAAAAGGCTAAAAAGTTTTTACTAATTCTTTTCCTTATGTGATCTCAGGCAAATCTCTACCTTTCTTGGGGCCTCAAGAATCTCTACTGGTAAAATAAGTAAAATAATGTACTCTTCCTCCTATAAAATTATCATTTCAGAAAGTTTTCAAAACAGAATCACAGAATTATTGACCATAAAGGGCCTCAAAATGTCAAGACTCCAAGAAAAACTGAAGCTAAATCAGTCCATATAGAGGAGTACCAATGTTGACACTGTTCTTAAAGATCTCTAGAAATGGATTCCACAGCCCCCCTTAATCACCATGCCAAAGGGACCTCATAAGAAGTTCCCATACTGAGAAAAATAAAGGCATTAGTCTGATTGACATTATTTCCTCTAATGGGGCATTAAAATATACAGAAGGCCTTGGTTACCAACCATCTTCTCTCTCTTCACAGGTTTTAGTAACAACTCACCTTCCCAGGGTCATCCCGAGGTCTCGGCACCTTCCGGAAACATTTATTAAGAGAAAGATTGTGACGAATTGAGTTCTAGGGACACAGAGAGAAAAATCAGGCTTTAGGGTGGCATGAGGCAGGCGACTGTTTCTTAAAACACAAGGGGATGGGCTAAAGGGCCCAAGCACAGAATAGAGCAGAATAAGGTAAAGGTAAAAAAAAAAATGAAAAGAATAATAACCCTGAAAGGTAACAGATTTGTTTTGTTTGACTGCCCTTATTTATTACAAAGGAAGACTCTACTGAGGAGGTGGGAAAGTCAGAGGAAAGTGATGGATGTGAAAAAAAAGCATCAACAAAATCACAGACAAATGAAAGCATGACAACAGAACTTAAATTAATGAATGCACCAAGCCATCTTGTCTCCAGACTTTTGACAAGGAGGCATACCACCCTCCTCTCTGTAGAGAAGAGATGGGCTCATGTTCAGAAGGCGGGATAGACTATCAGACATGATCACTGTGTGGGTTTGTTTGGTTAACTGTTCTTATTCACTATAAGAGAGTATTCCATGAGCTGGGGGTAGTGAGAAATTAATAGCAATTTTTTAAAGAATCAATAAACACTTAAAAACAATGAAGACTTTTAAAACAAAGATAAAAGTCAAGACATAAGGTAGGACTAGAGCCAATTTACTTATGTTATTAAAAATTACCTGTCAGCAGCAGCAACTGGGCCAGGAGAACTCCTACTAGAGTTAAATTTATGACAATAAGGACATATACAGGAAACATAGCTAAATACTTTTGAAAAGTGTTTCAATGACCAAGGATTAATTAAGAGGGAAACAGGAACCTACTCATTTTGTCCTCTCAAAAACAAGTAGCACAAACCAGAAATTGAAAGGATGCTTAGATAACGAATCCAAAAGCTGGTCTGTGTAGTATATGTCCAAAGAAAAAGAACATTCCATGTCTAATTTTTGGCTTATATTTTCAGGAGACAACTGATACGTAGGAAATAAAGAAAGAATTCCCAGACAAGGTGGCTGCCCTAACAAGCGGTAAAGTGCACCAGCCTCCATGTATGCCTAAGAGTGTGCTGGTAAATGTTTAGAACCAGCTCTCTGAAAATGCATTATTAACATTTCTTCCATCACTTGCCTAAGCCTGGACAATCAACAAACCAATAAGTCAAGCTCTGATTCATAGTATTGCCAATTTCCAAGGAGCAAATGCTCACAAAGAAATTTTAACAAAAACTGGCTCTAGCACACCCTGCACACTACCCAGCAAAACCCTGAAGTTCACACCAGACAGAATCATGATCAAAAAATCCAAGGAGAAACCGCAAGGAGCGATACCCCAGAACGGTGCAAGAGATTAACTAGAAGCCTATCGGCAGTAGGAGGCAAGGCCACTAGCAAAGCCAGTTTCAAGAGCTACCCTATGTGACCAGACAGATGGGCTTAGGACTAACCATAGGTAGCCTGCAAGGTTCTGAATGGAGAGCTCTCTGAAGAAAGTCCCAAGGTGGGGACCATGGAATCTGGAAACCTTGGGAGTAGGAGATCAGTGCTGTAGCAGCATTCAGAGCAATACACCCTAAGACTGTATCCTGAGAAGCAAGAGAGGCCCTGAAGATGTGAACCTTAAAGATCCAGAGGAGCCTAACCCAGGAGGCGGAGGCCAACACGGGAGCCCAGGACAAGACCAAGCAGGGTCCACTACACCTATCCAAAAGAAGAACAGGGCAAGGGAAGGCTAGCCAAGGCATCAAACACCAATTCATGAACTAAATAAATAAATCAAAGAAAATATTAACCAATATAAAAAATTACTGCATATCTAGAGATCCCTCAAAAGAAGAAACAAGTAACTCCGTAGCAACTGCAATCAGTAATGCAAGGGGGGGAAATGGATTTTTCACATGAATGCCTAGAAGAAACTTATTAAGAGTTTTGGTTTTTTAATGAAATAAAAACTCTAGAAGAAAGATTTGGAAAAATAAATAGTTTAGAAAAGAAGTAGTAAACCTAAGCCAAGTAATGGACTTCCTGAAAACTAAAACAGACAAAACAGAAATCAATGGCTTAAAGAACATTATCCATTTCCTGAAAGAGAAGTGATCAGTTAAATATGTAGAATGAGACACGTTTTTGGACATGGCCAATGTAGGAATTTATTTTGTTTGACCACGAGTATTTATTACATGGGTCTTGCTTTTCTTGTTTTTTTTTTCTTTTTCCTAGTAAAAGTGTGAGGGTGGAAGGAAGAAAAAAAAATAAACTTTAATTTTAATGGAAAAAAAAGAAAGAAATGACTCCATGAGATAGAGAGAAATATTTAATTATGATCAAAAGGCTAAAAAAGGTATATGACATCAAAAAAACTGACATTAATAACAGGTCAAGAAAAGATAATTTAAGAATTATTGGTTCATGAGGTAGCTAGGTGGCGCAATGGATACAGTACTGGCCCTGAAGTCAGGAGGACCTGAGTTCAAATCCAGCCTCAGACAAATGACACTAGCTGTGTGACCCTGGGCAAGTCACTTAACCCCAATTGCCTTTTAAAAAAAAAAAAAGAATTACTGGTTCCTTGAAAATCATGATTTAAAAAACACCTGGACACTATATCAGAAAATCATAAGCAAAAAAAAATTTTTTAATGTTATTTCCCAGAAAATTGTAAGCAAAAATTGCCCAAATGTATTAGAATCAAGGGCAAAGTAAAGATAGAATGAATCCACAAATAAGTCCCAGGAATATCATGGCCTGAATCCATAGCTCCCACACTAAAGAAAAAATACAGCAAATACCCAGAAACAGTACAATATAAGGAACCAGAGTCAAGATCACATCATAAGAGCTAGCATCTTCTATTATAAACATGAAGAAATACTGGAATATAATATTCCAAAAGGCAAAAGAGACAGCCTTACAACCAAGAATAATTTACCCTGCAAAGCTGAATTTAATCCTATAGTGTAAAAAAATTGATCTTTAATGGAATAAAGGATTCTGAAGCATTCCTGATGAAAAGACCAGAGTTGAGCAGGAACTATGAAATAGACAAGAGTCCAGAGAAACTTCAAAAGGTAAATTTATTAGAGTAATTAGAAGGAGTTATATTATGGAATAGTGCTGGCATTAATACGGGGTAAAGAAATATGTCTCTTCAGGTATTCAGGATGCACATCATCTTGGGGTGAGGGAAGGTATGAGACAGGGAGAAAATTTGGAACTCAGAATCTTATTGAAGTGAATGTTAAAAACTGAAAATTAATAAATTAATACAGAAAAAAGAAAATTAAAAAACAAAAATAAAAAAAAAAGAAATTGCATGGATGCCCATTAATTGGGGAATGGCCAAACAAAATGTGGTAGATGACTGTGATTGAATACTACTGCGCTATGAGAAATGCTGATTCAATAATCTTAGAAAAACATGGAAAGTCTTGTACAAAATAATGACGAGCAAAATGAGCAGAACCAAGAGAATTGTATATGGTAACAGCAATATTGTTTAAAGAATGACTTTGAGGGGGCAACTAGGTGGCACAGCTAGGTGGCTTAAGAGTCAGGAAGACCTGAGTTCAAATCCAGTCTCAGACAAATGACACTTACTCGCTGTGTGACCCTGGGCAAGTCACTTAACCCCAACTGCCTCACCAAAAAGTGAGGAAAAGAAAAGAATGACTTTGAACAAATAAGTTATTTTGACTATTATAAATGCAACCAGAGAAGAACTAATAAATAGAAATATGTATAGAATAATTTTACATACACACACACATACCCATACACACACACATACACACACACACACACACACACACACACACACACACACACATATTTGTGTCTAATGTTAGCTATCTCTGGGGTAGAGGTGGGGAGGAAATTTACATGATAACTTTGTTGTGTATTTAAAAGGAATAGCAAGTTGTACATAGGTGGATTTGTGGTTTCATGTGCAATTATCTTTTATATTGTACTACATTATGAAAATGCCTGTTTTATTCCATAAATTTTTAAAAAAATTATTAATTAAAAGAAAAGAAATATGTCCCTTCAGAACTTTAAAGTCTTCAAAGGGTTTTGACAAAGTTAAATAAGAAAAACAAAAGTTGTGGAAGTGGATTGAATCTGTTCTGAATGTTTAAAATGGGGAGAGAGAAGGATAAAAGGAATACCACAATGTAGAAAGGAGGAAGAATAGGGTGGAATTTGCAATTTCTCGTAACTGAGAAGAAGAGTTTTCAAACATGAAAGAAGGGAGAGAGGGGACTGGGCATCAACTGACCCTCACTTTTATGTGAAAAAAACAAAAGAGGATTGAACATACACAAATATATCAAACTCAACAGGGGAAAAAAATCAGGGATTTTTGTGTGTGTCGGAGGTGGAGTTTTAAGAAGGAAGATAATACCAAGGAATTAACAGCTACAAGCAAAACAAATTCTCTGATCCTGAAGTGGTCACTAAAAGGGTAAAAAAAGAAAAATAATAAAAGGGGGCACCTTAGAGTGCATCTTACATAATCAGATAATAGATGAATAAATCATGATATGTGAATGTAAGGGAACATTACTGACCAGTAAGAAATGACACAAGACAATTTCAGAGAATCCTAGACAGTTATGAACCAATGCAGAGTGAATTGAGTAGAATCAGGAGAACAATTTATTTAAGATCCACAACACATTATAAAGAAAAATAAATTTGAAAGACTTAAGAACTATGATCATTGCAATGACTAATCATATCTCTAGAGGATCGATGTTACCCACTTCCTGAGAAGTGGGTACAGAGAAATGAAGGTGCAGAAAGAGACATTTTTGGACATAGCCACTGTGTAGATTTGTTTTGCTTAATTTTTTTATTTGTTATAAGGGGTTTTTTTCCCCCTCATATCTTTCTCTTGGGCCACTGGTACAAATTTTTAAATGCCCAGAAGAAAAAAGAAAAAAAAATCCAGAAGGAAACACCGAGAATCAGGATGGTTTTAAAAGTAACCTCTAGAATTTATCATTTACTTTTTTTTAAAGCAAGAAGTGTGAAATGGAAACCAGTGGTTTCACAGAGAATCCTCTTTTTGTGTTGGCTATGTGTACGAAAATGCTCTTTTTTTAGTGTTTTAAGTTCAAAACAAATAAGTACTATATCTTTCTTCCTGCACTAACATGTAAGATTCTCGAGGGCAGACTGCTTTTCATCTTTTCTTTGTTATCTCCAGTGCCTTATACTTAGTAGTTGCTTAATAAAAGCCTTTTGAAATTAAAAAGTGAAGGAACTATACATATTTATCCAATCCCCGTTCAACAGCTGACAAATGAGTTGTTTTGGTTTTTTTCCCAAAAAGATTAGTGAGGACACAGGGTCTTTTCCTTGCCAAAAGAGGTAGGCCAGCCATGCTTTCTCACCTCTAACTAAACCACTTATCCACTTTTAACTGTTTGAAAAATAAGCTGCTGCAGTTGTGGGTAATTTCATTACCGTCAGTTTTCTCTGACTGGCATATTTCTCAAGATATGCTTACCAACTGGCAAATATAATACAAGACTAGGAATATTCAGTGTTGAAGGAACTATAGACAGATAGGCACGCTAATGCACTGATGGCAGAGCTGTAACTTGATCTGAACATTCTGGAAAGCAATTTGGAATTATGGTAAAAGGTGACAAAAATATCCGTAACTTTTGACCCAAAGATCCCAAGGTAGTCTATGATAAAAAGACAGACTTTATACTCCAAAATGTTTATGGGGCACTTTTTTATTGTAGCAAAAGCCTGGAAATAAGCTAGATGCCTCAACTTGGAAAAGGGGACAAAAAGCTGTGGTTCATGAATATAATGGAATATTCTGTACCGTAAGAAACAATCAACGTGATGAATAGAGAAAGGCAAAGTAAGCCATATGAACTAATACAAAGTGACATAAACAGGATCCAGAAAACAATATACACAACAGCGACAATGATGTAAATGGAAAGAACAGTAATAATAAAACTACCAAAGCTGAATCCTGTGAAATTATAATAGTCGAGATTGGCCCCAACAATCAAATATGAGAAGGCACCTCCCTGCTTCTCTGCAGAAGAGCTGGGAACTGCAAGCGTGGGATACAGCAAAAAATGCCAAACTTTATGTACTGGTTAGTTTTGCTCAACTTTTTTCCCCTCTTTTTCATGTTTTGTTATAAAGGAGGGTTCTGGGGCGATGGAGGGATATAATGGGAAATGTATGTGACTTTACAACAGAAGATATCAGTAAAAATGTTATTTTTAAAAAGGCAAGATGGCCATGTGAAACACAGACACAGAAATTTGATGGTACTCCTGTCCTGAGACATGATAAGATGAAAAAAAAAATGGTCTATTTGGGGAGAGGAAATTGGGATGCTAGGGAAAGTAGTAATAGCTTGGAAACTATGTCTAGGATTCTGGCACTGGAGGAATTTGCCTGCCATACCTTATAGAAGTAATTTTACCATGATAGAGTTACCTGAAAATAAGGCAGGAGACAAGAACAAAAGATTTTTTTTAGAAGTCCCTATCTCCCTGTGCTGGAATAGAATGAATCAGAGCTGGATAAGAAAGAGATGGGGTAGAAGTCATGGTTGATGAGAACAAAAGCATGGCCAGTTATAGGGACAGTCCTACCTTCCAGCCAATGCCAGCATTCTTGTAATAAGGGAAGTTATCACAGATCCAGCGGTAAATTTCACTGAGGGTCATCTTCTTGGCTGGGGAGGAGTTGATGGCATAGGTAATAAGTGTAGCATAGCTGTATCGAGGCTTGCCATCCTGGTGAACAGCTGCTTCATCCTTGCTCAGGGTAGCATTGGGATCCGTGGGTGAACCAGGTGGGCATTTGCGGCTACCTCCAGGGGGCCCAGCTTGTGAGGCTCCCCCCAGCTTCTCAATGGTAGCCCGAAGGGTCAGCTGGGGAAGCCAGTCTATGGAGGTGAGGCTGCTCTCCAGGTCAGAAGCCATGGTGCTGCCAGGTTCTGCAGAAGAGTACAGATAAGGGAATTGGATAAGTACAATGTGTATAGCACAATGTATATAGTGTCTGGTGCATAACAGGCACTTAAATGTTTACTGAACTGATTAATTGAAATAGTGTCTAGCTCCTGAGGAGCATTCTAATCCCAACCCCTTAAAGGATTTTCATTCGGCTAGCTGTCATTTCCTTAAACTGTACTTCTCTTGTGAACAACTCCCAGTCCTCTCACCTCATTCCAGTAAGCCCCAATAGTCCACCTATCTGACCATGATATAAAAGGATCATGGCAACTCTGCCTCATTCTCCATCCTACCCTGAAACAAGGTAGATAGAACTCTTCCCTTAGACAGAAGCTTAATAAAAGTCTGAATTGTTCTCCAAACTGAGAACAGGTAGATACAACTGCCCAGTCCCTCACCTCTCTCCACTTACACACCAGGGGTTTTTAAACTTTTGGGTCTCAACATCCCTTTATCCTCTTAAAAATTACTGAGGACCCAAAGAGTTTTTGTTTATGTGGGCTATATCTATTGATATCTACCATGTTAGAAATTAAAACTGATTAATTTTAAAAATATGTAGATATCAATTCATTCAAAATAATAATAAAGCTATTATATATTAACATAAACAACATTTTAATAAAAAAAAATAACAGCATTTTCCAAAACAAAAAAATTAGTGAAAAAAGTGGGATTATTTTACATGTTTCTGCAAATCCCTTTAAGGTTTAGCTTAATAGAAGACAAGAAGGATTCTCCTATCTTCTGCACTGTCTATTGTAATGTGTTCTTTCGGTTGAAATATATCCAAAAAAAATATGGTCTCAAGGATATGTAGTTGGGAAGGAGGGAGTATTTTAGTGCACAAATAATGTCTTAGTTTATTATAAAAATAGTTGTGCTCTCACAAATCCCCTGTAAGGAAGAAGCTATATGGCTCAGTGGATGGAGCACCTGCCCTGTATTCAGGAAGACCTGAGTTCAAATGTGACCTCTGAGCAAGTCACTTCACCTCAGTTGCCTCACCAAAAAACCCAGACAAACAAACAAACCTCATCGTTCTTGACCCCTCTGTAGCCTTTAACACTGTCAATCACCTTTTAGGGGCAGCTAGGTGGCACACTGGATACAGCACCACCAGCCCTGGAGTCAGGAGGACCTAAGTTCAAACCCGGCCTCAGACATTTGAATATTAGCTGTGTGACCCTGGGCAAGTCACTTAACCCCAACTGCCTCACCCCCCAAAAAAATCCCCTTTGGGGGAACTTCAGGGGTCCAGAGACTACTCTCTTAGAATGGGGGTCTACAATATAGCAAGGTTTAAAACCTGTATATAAAAGCCAACAGTTAAGAAAAGCTAATTGGGACCCCAGAACCATCTGATTTAGATCTACAAGAAAGGTTAGAATACAAAAGTCCTTGTTTTACAAATGAGGCAACTGCGGCCTAGAAAGGCTAAGTGACTTGCCTAAAGGTAAACTGCAAAGCTAGAACTCAAATTCCAGATCTATAATGCTTAGAATTAATTACATGGGCACCCTCACTCAGTTTTATATATATACACACAAAAATACATACAGATTGAGATCCTACCACTATATTCAGTGTACAGAGGCACCACCTTGAAGAGGTATTACAAGGATCCACCTTTCCAATCCAGCTCACGTGTACACACCATACATACAGAGAGGACAGCCTACACACCCATAAATAAAAGATACTAGGTGCGCAAGCGCGTGCACAAACACACACACACACACACACAAACACACAATGTACCATATGCCACACTCACAGCTATAGGAAATTACCGATAGAGCAATCACATATAAAGGAAACAAATCTTGAGCACACAGCCACCCTACACACCTTCAGCAGTTTCCCCAGAACAAACACGCCCACACACACATATATGCGCACACGGAAGAAGCCATGGGAGGCACCTCCCACCACTCCAGCGTGATGGCTCCACTGAGCCAGGGAGACACCCTGCTGCGTGTGCACCGGTAACAATCAGACAGGCTAGCTAAAAATAGCCACTCTGGGGTGAGGAGCTGAGCTCCTTTTCTACCTCCCTCTGCTTTTCTCTCCTAGCCAGGCACGAACCCTGCCTAAACCCCCATACAGACTCCTGTCACTGCCAGGCCACCCATGCCTGGGTTTGCAAACCCTCCTGCCACCCACACAGCCTGGGCACTCTCAAGGGCAGGGAGGTGGCTCCTGGAGGGTGAAGCCTCAGTGATGGAAAATTAAGAAAGATGGGTGACACCTGTGGAGTGATATCTGGATGAGGCTGATAGAAATCCCCCAGTGGCACTCCCCTCGAGGCGAGGACAGCATCCATCCATCCCCCTCAAGATTTGCCACCTGACAGGTTTATGCCTGCTTACCCTAAGTTCTTGCTGGTACAACCTCTTCCCTGGCACCCCTGCTGAGAGTCCTCGGTCACTCCTCGGGAAGAGCCTAAGCTGGAATGTCTCCAGGGTCACTCTGGGCTGAGCCACATTCACGAACGCGATCTCTCCTCCTTGTCCAAATACATACATTCTTACACAGACTCTGCTGTTAATGACTCCAATCTACCTTTAAATCTAAGTCACCTATCAAAAAATGACAATTCCTTCCCTCTAACAAATACCCCCATTTTCCCCCAGGGCTCAGGAATCTACACAACTTTGTGCCCTTTTCCACCAAGGGTGTATCCCACCTGAGCTTTCTCTGCATGTACACACATGCACCCAGTCCTAACATCCACACGAATAAACACACCCATGCTGCAATGCAAAGTGAAAGCCCAGCTCCCCAGAGCTGAAGGAAACACCTTAGTGCCTTAGGGTTCTAAGCAGCCAGGACGCAACTGCAATCCAAGAGCCGACTGACAGGGGGAAAAAAATATGCCATGTTTATAAATAGCACCAGGAAGAGATTTCTCCTCTATCCTCTGGTGTCTGGAACTGATCTACACCATAGAAATGCACAGGGTCAGTCACCCAAATCTTTTCAGGCACCAACAGGTCTTCTAGCTCCTCACCAAACCAAATCAATTCAGAAAGCTGCCACGTCTAGGAAGGAGCAGGGCAGCTGTGACAGCCATCACAGACTGAGCCAAAGCCAGGCCTCTCTAGCCAGCTAAAGCAAAACACCATACTTGGAGGGGTGGGAGAGGAAGGAGAATGGAGAACTCCATTCTCAAGAGGTCAGGCTTCTCCTGACTGGGTGCTACAGGAGTTGAATATCTGCTACCAAGATGTGTTTCTGACTTCTGCAGAGAAGCTCAAGGCAACAGCACGTGGAAAGCCCTAGAGAATTACATTAAAAAACTGTCCAATCCCTGAGCAGGAGCATGAGGGTGAATTCAAAGTGTTGGGGAACTTTTCCTTCGGCATTGCATGTATATGTCACAGCAGAGATAGGATGATCCTGAGTTCCCCTGGAGGAAGAAGACCCCTGCTGCTGGTTGGATCAGGCCCTTACCTGGCCTAAAGCAATGACCCCTGGAACCACACCTGGATGCAGCTCTGAGATCCTCCATCCCCATTCTCCTTTAACCCATCCTATTTTTCTTACCCCCCTCATACTTCCCAGAAAAGTGACTTCCAAACATGCCGCCTCAATTCTATTCCCAATGCTGCCATCAGCTCCCTAAATATACCTAACCAACATTGATGAACTCGTCACAAAAAAGACTGAGACTATAATCCCCACCAACAATTCATCCCCTCTTCCCTTGAAATAAGTAATTAAGCCTTATTGTGCTCATATCTATCATATGCTTCATGCTCCCCAAAATAATGGCTCGAGGCTAATCATCAGGTTATTATTAGAAGGAAAAAATACAAGGTGCTTGCATTTCATCATTCCCTGCCCCACTTACCACCCATTACTAATCCAGACCTTTCTTTCTTCCAGGGGGAATTCACGCTATTACACTGCCACAGAACCTAAACAAGGCCACATCCTCTTCTCTTTGGTATGGAAGGCCAAGAAGTAATACTTATCAGGAGCTGGGAAAAGGTCATCATGAGATGGCCATGCTACCTACCTCTGACAGAGAAGTGATGGAAGAAAGATGCATGCAAAATGAGACGTATATTTGTTGAACATGCCATTAGAGGAATCAGTTTTGCTTGACTATGCATATTTGTTACAAGGGTTTTGTGTTGTTGTTTTTTTTCTCAATATGGGGGAAGTACAGAGAGAAAAATGTATTTTTATTTCTGGAAAAAAACTGATTTTTTTTTAAAGGGACAGGTTTCCCTACATAAACATGCTTTCTGAGAGTGGTAAGAGTAAGGGGTAGTAGAGAAGTGATTTCTCCCTTTCATAAATACTAGATAGATTGCTAAATAAACACTCACTTAGCCCAACAGATTGACTCATAATATTTTTACTACTAAGGTTTTTCTGCCTGGACCTATAACTTCATCGTGTAGGAAGCTCCAAGTATAGAAACTCCTTTTACCAGTGCAGATCAACAGTGGCCAATTGCAGTCTTAGGGTATTGCCTGAGGACAAGTGACCTATGTCAGTCATTCAGCCTGAATGTGTCAGAGGCCAGGCCTAAACCCAGGTCTTCCTGACTCCAAGGCCAGCTTTCTCTCATTTGCAAAGCACTTAGCACACAGTAGGTGCTTAATAAATGCTTGTTCCCTTTCCCTTTCCCTTTGTCCCCTTCCACCATTCTGGGCTGTCATAAATGTTTTCTCCCCAGTCCTGTGACTTCACTGGTGTAGGGAGTGAGCTCCCAGTGAGGAATTTCTTCCACCCACCGGTGCTGATCAGCACCTTCATGCAAATGACATTCTTAACTTAAGTGACTTGCCCAGGGTCATAGACTGTGTCACAGGAAGCCCTTTCTGAGTCATAATCAGCTCTTTACCCACTACCTCAACACTACCTCCCTAATAAAATGACCATTCCTAATCACTCACATTTTTATACTCCTTTATGGGCTGTAAATCAGTTCCTGTTTCCACTCCTGTGAGTTTATTATCCTGATTTTTCAGAAAAAAACCGACTCAGAGGGGCAGGAACTTCCCCTAGATCTACCTGCTCTTAGGTATCAGAGCTAGGCTTTAGACTCAGGCCTCAACTCCAAATTCAAAGCTCCTTACACTACAACCAGGCTGCCTCTCACATACATACTTAGATTGGCAGATATATCTTGTCAGAGGCAGCTGGTAGGGCACTGGATAGAGTGCTGGGTCTACAATCTGGAAGACCTGAGTTTGAATCTGGCCTCAGACACATACTAGTTGTGTGACCAGCAGGCTCGCTTTGCTTCAGTTTCCTCAACTGTAAAATGGAAATAATAACATACCTACCTCCCAGGTTTGTTGTGAGGATCAAATGAGATAATATTTGCAAAAGTACTTAGCAAAGTGCCTGGTAGACAGTAGATACTATATAAATGCTTGTTCTTTCCCCTCCTTTATCCTCTCCCTTGTCATAAGATCATAGTCATGGAGTTGGAAGACCATCTACCCTAACCTAATCTAACACCCCCCCCCTTAATTTTACAGATGAGAAACTGAGGCCTAGGCAGTTTAAGAGATTTGCTTAAGGTCACACAAGTAATGATCATATGATGCAGAATTTGAAGCGGGGTCTTCTGACTCCAGAGTTAGTGATCTTTCCACTGCACCAAGGCAGAAACTAAATAGACCATAAAAGTTCCCAGAGCACAGTATTTTCTTCCACTCAGTTTGGGATAACCTCTTTGGGAGACCAGGAATATTTCCTAACAGATCATAACAGGGCTAACCCATTGAGAACACCAATTTGGAAAGGAAGGATGGATGGAAGGAAAGAAAGAAGGAAGTACGAAGGAAGGAAGGAAGGAAAGAAAAGGAAGGAAGTGAAAGAGAGTGAGAGGGAAAGAGGGAATGAGAAGAAGGAAGGAAAAAGGGAAGGAAGAAAGAAAGGATGGAATAAGAAAGAACGAAAGAAAGAATAGGAAGGAAGAAAACAGGGACAGGATACAATATAAAACCTAAAACTCGCTGGGTTCAGCTTGGTTGCCAAGCCCTTAAGGTTCACCTTAGTTTTCTTTCAGAGACAGAATCACTCTAACTCTGACCAGGTCTAGGAGCTCATCTAAGGATAAGCATCCACATGACTGCCCTGATGCTTGGAGTTATAGGGACTCATGAACTTGAGCCTAGAGCACATGTGTTCAAATCCCAAAATTTCCACTTATTACTTATGGGACCTCAGGCAACCTACTCAACCACTTGCAGTCAGTTTCCTCATCTGTAAAATAAGGGGGTTGCATGAGATCAATCAATGTTTAAATCTATAGTCCCTTACCAAACTCATCATTGCACCTGACACCATTTAGGGGTCAGACAGAAAGGTAGCATTTTAAGCTGGGCTGTGAGCCAGCTCCCCCATGTAGCTGGGGTGCTGGAATAATTTTTATTCCTGACCAGATGGTCAGGTGCTTTGGGAAAAGAAAGTAGCTGTCAGAGCAAAGTGGGATCTTGCCAGAATGAAAAGTTCTTGGGTTGAAGGCTCAAAGATCTTTGGGTAACCTCCAAACCCAGAGAATCTTCTCCTATCACTCCCAAAGTTCCAGGGATATTGAACCCAACCTGAGCTACTCTGATATGTATGATTATTGCTCTACAACTATTCAAGGATACCAGGCTACAAAAAGCATTCCCCACCCCCACTCTACTCTGTGTATGTCTACACCTCACCAGGATTCATAAGGGTCTACCCCATATACAGACCCTACTAGAAACATGATTCTAGGTACCCTGGTATTTGCGGTTCTGTGTTCAATCACACCCAGACATATAATCTCCAAACACAAATACATGGAGACATACACTTGCATTATCATTCAGTCATATAATGTACAAATATATGCATGCTACAGATGCCTCCTCAGTAGTGTTTATACTCAGATCTACTCCACAATATCTCATTCCCCTTGGCCTAGGAGGCTCCAATCCATCAGATTTGATCCTGTGTCTCCCTCTAAATATGTGCTATAGAATGATACTTCTGAGTGAGGAAGCAATTTCAGGGGTTTAGGCAGCCCACCCTGGCATTGGGCCAGAGGTGGAAAAGCAGGAGGAAAAAGTAAGAACCTAAGCATAGTTACTCTTCCACACCCAGCTATGCTGTGGGATGGGTGGGAATGGATAAAGTAGAGGGCAAAGGCTAGAATACTTTAGAAAAAGATAAGGCTTTGAGCCATCCAGCTAACTCAGTGATCCTGGGAATAAAAAGGGGGGGGGATGGAGAGAGGAACAGATCTCCAGAAGGGATAGTTTTGCTGGAGACAGTCTAAGGGTTAACAGGAGGGAGCCCCCAGCCCTCTGCTTTTTGGGGGCAATGTCTTCTCTACTACAACCTTGACTTGCCTCAACACTCTTAAGTAAGGCTTGTATGTGACCGGGGGAGCTTTCACCCCAGGCCATGAACTAGAAAGAAACCATTTGAGGCTTTTCTGGAAGTGAACCTTAACCTACGATATTTCTTAGAGGTCATGATCTTCTTGATGGAAAGATACTTTTGAGGGGACATTAGTGCTGAGTATACATATCCCTTTCTGGTTAAATCATACTTGCTCTCACCTGAAGTATAGTCATACTGAGACTGAAGCCCTGAGGCACAGTGGTGTAGGTCTTTCTCTGGGGAGGAACTTCAGCTCAGGAGCTTTGGTTCTCCTGAAGTCTTTGCAGTCTACTTAATTCCAGTTCTACCATACTTCTTTTGGGCTTGATGGAGACCGAGGCCCCTTTCATCAGCTTTGTGTCTTTAGGCAAGTCACATAACCTCTTTTGTCCTGACTCCTCATCGGAAAAATCAGGGGACTGGACTAGATGACCTCTAAGATCCCAATTCTAAATAGTTTCTATGAGCTATGAAAAGAAAATGACCCCATCCAGTGATGGAGATGCAGAGGAGGAGGGCTTTCTGTGACACTGTCCCCACCTTCACAGCCACAGAGATATACATAATATCTCTAGATACATGGATGAAGCATCTTGGATGATCCCAGGGCTACTCATCCCTTGCCTGAGGCCAGGGGGAGGTGGGAGCCCCTGCAGCTCTTTAACCTGGGCAGGAAGGCTCCGGCCACGACCTGATATAACTCTATTGGGACCCCTGGATAGTATCAAATCTTAAAGCAATTGGCAGCATAGTATGGTACAAAAATGACTGGATTTGGAGTCAGAAGACTTGAGTTAAAATCCCAACTCCACTATTTAATACCTGTGAGATCCTGGGCAAATCTCTTCACTCATTGGACCTCTGTATCCTCATTTGAAGGAGTTGAGGGGCAGCTAGGTGGCACAGTAGATAGAGTACCGGCCCTGGATTCAGGAGGACCTGAGTTCAAAGGCGGCCTCGGACACATAACACTTACTAGCTGTGTGACCCTAGGCAAGTCACTTAACCCCACTGCCTAACCAAAAAGAAAAAAAAAGAACTTGAATAACATGATGTCTGAGGTCTCTTCTAGTTCTACACCCCATGATGATCATCCTATGATTCTGTTACACAAAATAAAATCTCCAAACACACAAGGGGCTAGGGGGAAACTTGAAACTTCATGTGACTACAAGCCTTCCAAGCTTGGGGCCTTCCAGTCTTTGATCTAGACATCAGGAAGCAGACACAGAATTCTAGGATCTATCCAAGTGTGCCAGCATTGGGTCTGTCAGGCCTCGCACACAGCCTGGCCCATGGAAGGCACTTAAGAAGTGCTTGGTGAATGAAAGCCAAATCCAGAGTTGTAGCGGCCTTGGGAGCAAGGGAGGCTGAGGATGATAAATAGTCTGTATGAAACTCAAAAAGAGCTGGATAACTTTTCTGATGCTGCCTACCCCCTTGCTTCTCAGTATGCTCAACAAGATCTACTTGGGGACGAAAAGGGAATTCCACCTCTCCCCAAACTCTAGGGCACCCATTTCCCAGAGTCTTGGCAATAGGATCCACACTCAGTAAGCTTTCAGAAGCTCCGCCTCCCAGGACCCATTTGTCATCTCTAGAAGACCCATTCTCCAAGTATTCATTCCTCTGATCCCTCTGCAACTTCCTGACCCAGAGGGATCCACTTCCTAGATGTCAAAACCAAATTCTGGACCCCTACCCTTTTAAGGCATTTAGTACATAAAAGGAGTCAGAGAAGGAAGGGGGGCAGGGAGGAGGAAGACGTTGACCACAAACATTACTCACCTGCCTCAGAGGTTCTCCCGGCAAAGGAAGGGAACCACCTGGCACTGGAGTTTCGGGCTGAAGGGATATCTCTCTTTAGGGGCAGGTCATCCTCAGTAGCTCTTCGTGGGCTTTGCCGAGTTCCCCAAGCTGGGGTGGGGAGGCGAGTGCCCCGAGAAGAAGGAGCAGCAGCAGGAGGAGAAGGAGGTCCTACCTGCGGGAGGTGGTAGACCCCCCGCGCCTTGGCAGTAATCCTGGGGAGAAGGGGAGGAGCCTCACCCAACCTGGGGTTGTCTCCTCCCCTTTGGGAGAGTCCCCTTCCCCTCAAAACTGACTCCTTCAGGGGTGAGGGACTTCTTCTGTCGGCTGGAGAATTAAGGGGAGAGGCACTGCCCTGTTCCACTTTCTAGGTCCTAGGAAGAAGCCCGCGGACTTGGGGTGGGGATGTTGTTGCCCTGTCCTGAGTATGGGAGGAATCTGAATTCTCCCCTTCCCTACTATGTCCTCTCAGCCCCTGGTCCTGGCACTCTTCTCGGCTCTCGCCAAAGGAGAACGGGCACGAGATGGGGGAGGGCACCTTTCTCCTTTCCCCCCTTGCCCAGAAAGTCTGGTCCTAAGAAGTGAGTGTGTCTACGCAGGCTAGTGGGAAGGAGGGTGCCCTTGCTCTCCGGGGTGGGACGTGCTCCCCCGGGGCACGGCCTGGGCTCTAGGAGTCTCCGGTCCAGCGGAGGCCGGCCGGGCGCCCCGGGCGCGGCGTTTCGCCTCTCTTCGCGCTCCGCGGAGGCTGGCCGGGCAGGGAGGCCGCGCCTCCGGGCTCGGGCTCGGCGCGGGGGAGCAGCGGCGGCAGCCCGGCCGCCTCGTCCCCCGGGGCCCGCGGGACTGCCCGCGCTGCCACCCCGGACGCCACGCTACTCGGACTCCGCACGAGCGGGGGAACTGGCGAGCATACGCGCGGTCCCTGGGCTCGGCTCGGGCTCCGGCTGCGCTCCGCTGCAGGCCCCGGCTCCTCCCCGGCCTCCGCGCGGTTCCTCGCCCCCTCCCCTCTTGTCCCCGCCCCCCCCGGCCCAGCCCGGCAGTCACGGCCGGCGTCCCCCCGCCTGGGTTAAGGAGGCTCGGGGAGCTGCAAGGGTTCGCTCCCACCTCTCCCTGGCCGGGGCGGCAACCCAAGGCTCTTTCCCTCCCGCTAGATAATTGCCACCTCCACCCACCCAAGCGGAAGGAATGAGCAGCCCCCTTTCCCCCCGCCCGGGATCATCCGAGATGCTCTATCCACTTAGAGTAGGAGGCGCGGAGTCTGTGTCGGAAGCCTTGGGGGTCCAGTAGCTTGTGACCTTGGGCAAATTGCAGCCTCTCTTATCCTTATTTGTAAAATGAGAGGCTACCCCCCACCAGTAGATGAGGCTCAAGTGAGTTAATATACATGCATCCCAAAGTCCTTTAGAGACTGGTAAAAGCAAGTCAACAAGCTTTTATTAAGCGCCTATTATTTGCCAGGCACTATTCTAAGCGCTGGGGATACAAATAAAGACAAAAAACATCCTGCCCTCAAGGAGCTCATAGTCTAATAGCGAGGACAACATGCAAAAAAACGATGTGCAAACAAGCTATATACAGGATGAATTGAGGGTAATCCCAGAGGGAAGCCACTCGCATTAAATGGGATTGGAAAAGCCTTCTAGCAGAAGGTGGGATTCTTAACACCATAGGTACTAGAACTCTTCTGAAGCTCATTTGACAATTCCATTAACATCTCACCCCCAAAACTTCACAACTTCCTGACCCTTTCTTTATAGGACAAGCTTATATTCCCTTCAGCTCCCTCTTCAGGCCCTCTTTTACCCTCAATACATATTAACACTACTGCACAATCTTTTTTTTTTCTTTTTTTGGCTTCTCTATCCCTACTCCCCCTTGCTCCCTCAACTTCCTTCCCCACTGGAAAAAGATGAACAAAGCACTTGTAACAAATATGGATAGTCAAAACAAATTCCCACATTGACTGTGTCTAAAAATGTCCCTTATTCTGCATCTTGGGTCCATCGACTCTCTCAGTAGCCCACTTCATCACATTAATCCTCTGGAATCGTGGTTGGTCATTAAACTAATCAGAGTTTTCAAGTCTTTCAAAGTTGTTTTTTCTTTATCATGCTATAATTTTATAAATTGTTCTCACTTGTGAATCAATTCACCACTGCACAAACTTACTCTCTCCTTGGACATCTCCCACCTACCCTTTAGTCTGTTGACTCTTCCCTCCCCATAACGCCTCCTTCAGCATCCATTTCACAAATACTGTGACGATAATAAAACACTAGCCATAAAGTATATGAGCCGATTTATCATATAAATCTCTGGTTTAGATATAATTATTTATATGCTGTGGCTCTCATTTGACTGTGAGCTCCTTGAGGGTAGGAACTGTCTTTTACCTTTCTCTGTAACGCCAGCGCTTAGCACAGTGCTTGGCACAAAGCAGGCACTTAACATGATTAATGGAAGCCCTCAGGGACAGATAAACCATATTGTAAGGTTATTAAATTTATCTCTGGCTAATAAAATCCTTTCCCTCCCTCCCCCTTCGACTTACCCTCTAAATACCATTGTGGTTCCTTTCAGTCATCTCTAGAGGACTAAAGTTTTGGGGCAAAGACTGATCTGGAGATGATGCAGGAGGATAATGGAGAGTATCATGGGGCTGCAGGATTGGGAGATTATTTCAATCAGCAAAGCACAAAGCTGGAAAAGAAGAGACTATAGAGAAAGTGGCATTTACCTCGCTTTGAGGTCCAGACACTCACAACTGTCCTGCTCCACCTTAAGATGGTTCAGTCACTCCCCAGCAACCAGCTCCTCCCTCTTCCCTCCTCCACCCCTGCAGCTTGGACTCAGGAACCTGTGTATGGGAGGAGAGTCGCAGAAAGAGACGCGCAGAAAGGGGAGATTGACACTAGAGCTGGGAGGCGGGGAATGGAAAAGAGCTCCTAGGTTGGGTGGCCTGACATGGGGAGTAAGGGCATACCACTCAAAGGCTGGCCTCTTTCCTGGAAGCTGGAAATGATAAGAGGGTAGGGGAATAGGGTAGAGGGCCCAAGTTGGCCTGGGGTGGAGGAAGGAGAAAGCTGCGACCCTCGAAGTAAATTCCACGCTGCGATCACCAGGCTTTAATTGGAAGTTCAACTAATTGTAAATTTCCTCAAACCCATTCCCAAAGAGGGGTCAAGCTTCTATTCCCCTCCCCTAGTGCTCTTTCTCTCTCTCTGATTGGTTAGAGTCTGACTAGGTTTGGCACAAATCTGCTTTTAAATTGGTTAATATAACAGTCGGTCATGAGGCCGGACACAAGCAAAAAAGAGGAGGCTGCATGGGCAGGAAATGGTAAAGAAATTGACCCCGCCCCCTTGGCCTACCGATTGGTTAAAGTTGGGGATGACGTAAGAAAAAGCATAAACAAAGCAATGTAGAGACGAGGCTCCCATTGGTTTCCCAGTTCTCGCCGGGTTAGGTTTGGATTTGGGAGGCGGGACAAGAAGAACTCAATTATTTTAGGGAAGAACGGAAGGGAAAGAGAACCCGGAAATAGGAAGAGGCGAGCATAGGAGAAGACAGAAGGTATAATTAATTAGTGGAGCCCACGAGGGTACCACTCTCACACAAATACATCGTCTTGTGTGTGGGTTGTTAACCCATTAAAGTGAACTTATTTCCTGGTGACCCGGAATATAAGCAATACTTCCTTATGCTTTAAATTTGTTCCCAACACACCTGTTAACACATGACCTCATACCTCTTAAAAGGGAGGAAAGGAGGGAGGCAGGAAAGGAAAAAACACATCTCTCCCTGGAGATGACAGACTGAGGCACAGAGAAGCTCAAGGATTGGTCCCTGGCTCACACAGCATCGTCTGGCGACGTAGGTTTCCAGGTGGTTTTTCCATCACTTTACATGTAGCAGATGGAGTGGAAGGAAGGTGGAGAGCTAGTATATGGCACCAGAGTGGCAGGTTCTTTACCAGGAATTTGGCCTAATAAAGAAAAAAACCAAATACGCCAAACTCTTGGATATGTTTTCAAATCTAAATCTTTCTACCTTGGCAGAAGTTTTCCTAATTGCCTTCAGCAAAGTCCTTTTGCTCCTTATACCTCTCTCAACAGTTTGTTTCATATTTTTCTAATGCATTTATATATGGACATTTCCAATTCTAAGTCTATTATTTGATTTTTAAGTTGTAATTATTATATTTTGTACTGTTGTAATATTGTAGCATTATATCACTAAATTAGAAACTACATAATGGCAGGACCTATGTCTTACCTAAACTTGTATCCCCAGTGCCTTGCACTATGCTCTGCACATAATAGATAATAAATGTCTGTTGAATTATATGAGTTGCAATTTGGGCTAGCCCAGCTCTGTATGTAATATAAGTGGTGTATTTCTGGGAAGACCTAGGAAATATGGAAGTAAAAGGATAACAGATTTGGCAGATATATGCCGCTTTGCAGCACTGCAGACAAATAAATAGCTGTTTTCCCTTTACCAGCAATCTCAGTCTCTAACAGTTCAACTCAACAATTTGTTAAGGCAGAGCCAAGGTGGTGAAGTAAAGGCAGGGACTCACTAGATCTCTTCCAATTTCCCCTCCAAACAACTTTAAAATAATGCTTCCAAATGAATTCTGGAGTGGCAGAACCAACAAAAAGAAGGAATGAAACAATTTTCCAGCCTAAGACAGTTTAGAAGGTCTACAGAAAAGATCTGTCTCGCGTGAGAGTGGAGCAAAGTCCAGCATAGCAGCAAAAGCCATGATTAGGCTGGGCCCTGATCAGCACACTGAATCAGCAGCAATGACTTCCAAGAGCTCTTAACCCACCCATGGTAAGGGGGCTGGACAATCTGGTCAGAAGGAAATCAGAGGGGACACTTTGCTGGCACTAAGTGCAGGACTCTGTTGCATTGCCCATATGGGGATCCAGGTTGTAGTTCCAGGCTGAGGAGCAGCACTAGCACACTAGAGCTCAAAGCCACAAGGGAGTAGAACACTGATCACAGTTCCAGGGCAGAAAAGAGTGCTTGTGGTCACTCAGAGACCAAAGCACAGGCCAGGAGAGCAGTGACCAAATCTCTCCTTAGATCATACCACCTTGGAATAACTGAAAACTTACAGGTCCCCAGAATTAGCTCTAAAATCAGCAGCATGAAAAATCTAGAGGTTGGAACAAAGCTCTCTCCACCCAAGGAACAGAGTTCTACTTTAACATAAAGTTAAAAGACAAGACATAGGCTGGGAAAATGAGCAAATAACAAAAATAAAGAACCTGACCATAGAAAATTACTATGGTGATAGGGAAATCAAAATACAAGCTTCAAAGGAAAAGGCAAATTGGTATCAGTCCCCCCAAAAAAAGTATTTTAAAAAAGCAAATAATATAGGTAGAGAAAAATTTGGGGAAAGAAATGATGCAAAAGAATCATGGAAAAAAATGAGTTTGGCAAAGAAAGCAAAAAGGGGGGGGGAGATGTACAAAAATTCACTGAAGAAAACAACTGTAAAAAGTGGAATTGGCCAATGGAAAAGAAGGTACAAAAGCTCACTGAAGAAAATAATTCCTTAAAAATTAGAATTGGGAAAAAATTTTTAAAGGAAAAAATAATTAGAATTGGGCAAGGGAAACTGATGATTCTATAAGACATCAAGAAACAATAAAACAAAATCAAAAGAATGGAAAAAAATAGAAGAAAATATGAAATATCTCATTGGAAAAACAACTGACCTTGAAAATGGAGGAGAGATCATTTAAGAATTATTGTACTAACTGAAAGCCATCATCAAAATAAGAAGAGCCTGGGCATCATCTTCAAAGAAATTATTAAGAAAAACTACTCGGATGTCCTAGAACCAGGGGGTAAAACAGAAATTAAAAGAATATACCATTCACCTCCTGAACGAGATCCTGAAATGAAAACTCCTAGGAAAATTACAGCCAAATTCCAAAGGTCAAGGAGAAAATACTGCAAGCAGCCAGAAAGAAAGAATTCAAATATTGTGGAGCCACAGTCAGAATAACACAGGATTTAGCAGCTTCTGTATTAAAGATTGGAAGGCTTAGAATATGCTATTCTGGAAGGCAAAGAAGCTAGGAATGCAACCAAAAATCACCTATGCAGCAAAACTGAGTGTAATCTTTCGGGGAAATGGATATTTAGTGAAGTAGAGGACTTTCAAGCATTCCTGATGAAAAGACCAGAGATGAACAGAAAATTTTATTTTCAAATACATGATTCAAGAGAAGCATAAAAAGGTAGACATAAAAAAGAAATCTTAAGGGAGTAAATAAATTTAAACTGCTTACATTCCTACATAGGAAGATGATACTTGCAACTCTAAGAATTTATCAATATTAGGGCAGTTAAAAGGAACATACAAAGACAGAGGATGTGGGATATGAATTTACTATGATGGAATGATATCCAAAATTTAGGGGGGTGAGAAAGAGGGATGCACTGGGAGAAGGAGGAAGGGAGAGGTAAAATGGGGTCAATTTTCTCACATAAAAGAGACTCAAAAGAGCTTTTACAATAAAGGGAAATATGGAGGGGTTGGTTGGCAACTTTTGAACCTAACTCTCATCAGAATTGCTGAAAGAGGGAATTACATATGCATTCAGTTTTATAGAAATTTGTCTTACCCTACAGGGAAGTAGAGAGAGGGAGAAGAAAAGGGAATTGGGAGAGGCTGATAGAAGGGAGGGCAGATTGGGGGAGGGGGTGGTCAAAAGCACAACACTTTTGAAGAACAATAGGGTGAAAGAGAGAGAGAGAAATGCAGGGAAATACAGAGTAATCATAACTGTGAATGTGAATGGGATGAACTCACCCACAAAACAGAAGCAGATAGCAGAGTGGATTATAAAACAGAATCCAGCAATATGTTGTTTACAAGAAACACACTTGAAGCAGAGAGACACGCAGAGTAAAGGACTGAGCTGGAGTAGAAGTAGAAAAAGCAAGGGGTAGCAATCAATCTCAGACAAAGCAACAGCAATTAAAAAGGATAAGCAAGGAAGCTACACCTTGCTAAAAACAGACAATGAAGTAATATCGATACTAAACATATGCACCAAATGGTTTAGCATCCAGATTCTTAAAGAAAAAGTTAAATGAGTTATAAGAGGAAATAGAAAGCAAAACTATACTAGTGGGAGGCCTCAACTTTCCCCTCTCAGAACTAGATAAATCTAACCACAAAATAAGAAGGAGGTGAATAGAAGTTTAGAAAAGTTAGATATCATAGACCTCTGGGAAAAACTGAATGGAAATAGAAAGAAATATACCTTTTCTGTGTGGTATATGGCACCTACACAAAAACTGACCATGTATTAGGGCATAAAAAACTCACAGTGGAATGCAGAAAAGCAGAAATAGTAAATGCATCCTTTTAGGATCATGATGCAATAAAAATGACATTCAATAAAGGGCTGTGGAAAGATAGATTAAAAATTAATTGGAAACTAATCCTAAAAAATGAGGGGGTCAAAGAACTAATCATAGAAATAATAATTTCATTAAAAAGAATGACAACAATGAGACAACATACCAAAATTTATGAGATGCAGCCAAAGCAGTACTTACAGGAAAATTTATACCTCTACATACTTACATCAATAAAATAGAGAAAGAGTAGATCAATGACTTGGGCATGAAGGGGGAAAAAATAGGAAAAGA